AATTGTTTCACAATTCCTTCGAATGTCTAATTTTTTCCAAATATTTTATTCAATGTTGCATATGGAAAATATTTCATTTCTTTATATGGTACAATAATAGTTGATAGGAGCTTATTTGTTACGATTTTTCCGCGTGGAATCTCGTCGATCATCACATACCATTACGTTGACTTGAAAGAAGATGTGAATATAAATATAGAAAAAATGTAGTGGTACTATAGAATGTCAGACGTTCTCGTATTAGTTTTCTGTTTTCTGTGGTCTGGGCTAGCTATTCAGACTTGCCACATACTGATGCCAGGTGCCATATACTGCTTCTCAAACCACCCTTTTTTATATATTTTTACAATTTTTCGGTTTCCAATAGTAGACGCGAAATATTACTTTAAAGAATATTCAAGAACAGTAAAATACGTATCAAATGGTAATTTTAATTGAAACATTTGGAGCCGCTTTTAGAAAAATGGCGTTTAACATTACTCTAAATGCGAAATTTGAATATAGTTTTCAGACAATTTGTGAGGTTTCGAGATACTCTATTGGAAGTCATTTGAAACACTCACAAATACAATAGTGTTTACAAATTGCTGGAAATGTTTATATTAACGGCATGAGAGATATTAAAAAATAATGTGTAATTTGTGTAATTTTTGAAAAAATGGAAGAATACCGCAAAATAAACCATGTCATATTAAACAATGCAATTAGCACTAATCGTTGGAAAAGTTTGAAGAAAAAATTTGGGGCAATTTTTGAAAAAATGACGTTTGTGTTTCTGAAAAAACGGAATTTTGAGCTAATTTTTACAGAAAACTGTAGATTTTTTGAGAAACTAAATGGCATTATTTAAAACACATGTACTCATAAATACATTAATATTAACAAATCGCCACAAATGTAAATATTAACAACGTTAGATACAAGTGAATAAAATGACATTTTTGTAATTTAAAAAGAAAATAAGTGAGCAATATTGCGTTTATGTCATTTAATAGAGCACACTTAGTATTGTCCCTACCAAAAGTTTAAAAAAAATTGGAGCCGTTTTCAAGACAAACTTGTTTTATTATCTTTTCAAATTGTATTTATTGCTCGAAATCTATTAAAATTTTCTAAAACGTACATGGTCTTAATGAAAGAACTAATTATGGATAACAAGTATCTTTTGAAGGAAAAATCTCATATCTTCAGTATTGTAGTTGTAGGAACTTTCCCAAAAAATTCTGACTTTGACAATATTTGAAAATTCAAAGTTAACGGTGAAAAACAGATCTATTTAACAATTATAAATGTATTTTACTCTATTCTTATAAATAATTTTAAAAAAATGAAAATGTCCCAATAGCGTCATGTAAAGTACCCCCAAAAATTAATTAATGTTTTTTTAAATCGTAGAGCTTCGATTCAGGCGAAATTGACAACGGTATCTTCAATTTGGAAAGAAATCGAAAGGGTGCTAGTGTTGGTGCTAGTTTAAGTGCTAGTGTTGTTCACATACCCCGGACGGACGGAAGGACGGACGGACGGACGGACAGACGGACGGACGGACGGACGGACGGACGGA